ATCCCGGTCTCCACTGCAGCTGCCTTATTAGTGGGTTCGACTACTTTATTTTTTGTTTTCACGTAAGTACGGCTCTGGCGGAGGGGGGGCCGTGCTGGGGCCGCCCGGCCCGGCGGGGGGAGGCGGCGGGGCTTGACAGCCCTGCGGGCCCTGCCGCTGCCGGTCCCGCTCCCCGCCCGCTCTCCCTGCCCGGCTGCGCTTTGCAGAGGCTCGCGATCGCTCCGTATCGTGAAATGTGCCTGACAGGCAGATCCACCATTTCATGGCACACAAACCCCGTCCGCCTCCCGCCCTGCCGGCGGTGTGCGGCGGAGCTGCCGGAGCCCCTCGGAGCAGCCCCTCGGAGCGGGCAGGGCTGGCGGGCTGGGGAGGTGCAGCCCCAGCCCGGGGCTCAGCCGGCCGGAGTCTCTGTGCTCCGGGAGGCAGCGCCGGCCTCCTCCCTCAGTCTCAGGGTTCATCCGGCAAAGCCTCTCCAAGTGGAAGGAATCCTATTCTAGGCATTACCCATTCTACATATTTTTATGTAACTGTTCCTGAAAGGCTGAGGATCTAATGAACAAATTTACGTTTGCTTGAAGGAGAGACGGGGAAACTTTTTCCCCCCTTTCTGTTTCCTCTTCTCTCATTGCCTTCTCCCTTAAATGCGGGATTGGGCTCTGGCGGTCGGCTCGCAGCTCTCCTGTAGTTCCATTAATATGTGAGTGCTGTAGTGCTTCGGCTGTTTCCTCTCCCTTTCCATACACTGGAGTTCTGTCGCTCGTAAACCCTTCCTGTGCGGGGTATCGGCAGCCTCCCTGCAGAGGTGTCAGTGTTTCCAGAGAGATGCTCTGAAAGGAGCCTTGACCAAGCTGCCTTTTGGGAAGGTGGAAAGACGGCTATTGCATATTGAGATTTATTGTTTCGCTTATTTTGAAGTTTTATTATTTCCGTTTTCCTTGTTTTGCCATTGCTATTTTTTCACCGAGCTCAGTGAAGCTGTTGGAAGCAGAAGGCTCTGTAAGAGTGGGAGTTATGTGTCTGTGTCATTATCCTTCGTGGTTTGGCTGTGATACGATTCTTGATGTTTCAAAATGCTGGTGTGGTAATCGCAATGTAGGATTTCAGAATAAATGTGGATGTTGTTTTGTCTAACAGTTTCTTAAATCAGAACAGATTTTGACACTGAGTAACGCTCTTGACTTGATGTGCCTTTATTTCTCATTGCTTGTTTTCAATGCATTTGATATGAAGTAGTGGTGACTCCTTTCAGGATATTATACTGTGTCAAGAACTGGTCAAGCCTCAAGAACTGGTACAAGTATCTGCCTATCGTTCATCATTTGGGCATCTAATTATAGTTTGGTGCTTGCAGGCAAACACAGGACAGAAGTTGGCTTTTGTGATGAACTTGGTTAACACTGGTGTGGGGAATATTAAATGGTTGCACAGTCGAAAAGAAAAGGGGATCTTAATGCCGGCATTTATTTTTCCTGCTGCCTGAGGAATGGATGTGTGCTGAGGCTGTTTTGGAAGCTGGATGCTTGTTTTCGTATGATACTTCCAGTGTAGAGCTACAAATTGCTTAGTGATGTAAGACTTTCCTGGTAACACAGTTGTTGTTGAAACATCCTTTTGGCAGCAGGACATCAACAGAGATGTTGATTTTACAATTTGTTAGTGTACGAAAGAAGCAATTGCCTTTAATTCATCACCGAATCTCAAACTTCACTCTGCTCCCTCTGTTATCAGTGAATAATTACATGCAAAATGAACTATTTTAAGGATCTCTCCATATTGTAACTTGGCCTGTGTATCTTGAAGTGCTAGTAAATTTTTTGAGGACTGTCCCAGACATACGTTCTCTGCTGCTGCCAAGTCCTGTGTGTAATAAAAGTAACACATAATTGAGCAACTGTTGCCAGGCAGGATCTGAAGTCCTGTCCATTCAAAAATACTCAGATGAATTTGTATGGAATTGTTGTCTTTCATGCTGAGCAGTTTTAGTAAAATCTGTCTATGTTGTGCCATCACAGCAAGCAGTACTCATGAAATAAGTGTCTCTTGTGTGGTGCTGGGTTTTTTCCCCTTTTCCTGAGCATTTCCATTTTTTATCTTTTTTCCACAGGCAGGGTTTTGTGTCTTGATCTTGTTGCTGTCATATGTTATTAAAGGCTGAGATAGCTGAATTTTCAGGTGTGTTGATTTGCACAACTTGTTTGATGTTGGATAAATCTCTGATAATGCAGCAGTTGAAACACTGGCCTAAAAATGCTTTTGATACAATCCATGCTTGCTTGTCAGAGCACAAGAACTTAATCAAATTAAGATTTGCATGTGTGTTTATTACCTCCTTATTTGTGTTAATTATCTGTAAGGCTGCTGTGTCTATAATGAAGTAACCTGTGTATAAATACATGAAACCAAGGATGGATGGAACTCATATCAAATTTTGGGTGCAGATCAGCTCAGTGGGATATCAGGGATTTGAGCAACTTCAGTGTGGTGAAACAGAATAACAGAGGTTAAAATATGTGGAAAAATGGAATAATAACTATTTTTAAACCACTAACTGAATAGAAAAAAAAATCCTTTTAGGGCACTGGAAACATTTCTGAATAAATCTATGAAAGCAGAGGACCTGACTTGGCTTTCTCCCTAGACACGTTTGTGGGCTCAAGACACGTGTTATGAGTGTCTTTTGCTGAATGAAAAGCTCTTTGAACTTGAAGGGCAGAGTTTGCTTTTTTGCAGTGTGGTCTTTATTTTTAGCTTTTGTCCAAACACCTTTGCTAAAAAGCAGCACATAAAGACTGGAATACACAGTGTCCACTATTAGTTCATGGTGGTGTTGATCAGTGCTACTGTTAAGCTTTGGGAAAATTCCATTATAGGTTCTCCTTTGTTCTTTTTCCTCAGCTAACTATTTAGGATTCTCTGTTATATTCCTTCTGGTTTTATGAGGGGGAACTAAACTGTTTAGCTATCAAGATTATTGCCTGGAAAGGCAACTAAATATTGCAGTTGTATTACCACAGGCTTTTAGCACTCCATGTGTGTTCCTTCAGTAATAAATACAGTGTCTGAGTAGGTGGTCTAATTTGTCACAGTGAGAGAGTAAACAAGCATTAACTCTAAGCATTATGAAGGAACATATCAATAATGTTTTATAGAATGATTAGGTTAATTTACTTATATGAACAAATCAAATGGCATAATGAAGGAAGAACCAATTCTTCTTAACACTGTGAGAATCCAGAGTGAGTCAGTTCTAGCAGACATGAACTCTTCTACCAAAACCTTTTTTTCTTGGTATTTCTCATCAGGCTTTTTGTTAGAGATAACAACCTATTCCAGTGCAGTCTGCCTTGGACTCCCAATGGCTGTGATGGAAACCTGAGGGGGATCATTCAAAGACCCTGAGTTTCAAGAACTTGCCACCTTATTTTAGGCTGTGTAACTTCAGTATTAGTAGAGAATGCAACTTAATTATCAGTAAGCATAATGTTACCCAGTGAAAGGTTGGAATCAATGATCTGAAAGGACTTTTCCAACCTAAATGGTTCTGTAACTATTCTGGAGCTAATAGTTCTCTTCACCTGTTTAAATTGGCTACTTACTGTAGTTGTTAGTGCTGAGAACCCCGGGGTTAGTTCAGCAGCTGCAGTGCTGTAGATTACACAGCAAGCTAAAAGCATATGGTTTTAAGGGAAAACTGTGGCTCATTTTAGTAAGGAGAAAAAAGCTTGTCATTCTCCCTGAATACTGCAGACTAGAAGTTTCTGATAAAATACCCATTTTCAGACTGTAATTTCTGCAGCATGCAGCATCTCTGAAGTACAGTAGAAACATGAAGCCCATGACAAAGGTCCAGGTGCCACTACTTTTTTGATATAATGGTAGTAACACTGCTGTATATTATTCCTTTAAATGGGATAATAAAATGGGTAATTTTCTCAGTGAAGTGAAAGCACAAATAAGGCGAAAACTCATTCAGTCAGTACTGAAAATGAGACTTCAACTTAGTTCTTAACAGTCATAATGGGAGATAATCATAGGTGTGCACCACAGACAGCTGCAGTTGGCACTCTAATGCAGGCTGTGCCACAGGGAGTTTGATACCAATAACCTGCAGGAAATGACTGAGGAGTGATAAACTGGTGTAGAAGAGCAACTGAAGCTGCAGTAGGGATGGAAAGGCAATAGAGAAATAACCTGTACTTGTGCTGTTCCCATGGCTGGCAGACTGTGCTCTAGAGCAGGCCTGGGGGACTTACCTTAACAGGAAGGAAAGCTTGGCTTCAATTCATCAGTTTACAGAAAAATTGGTATTCTCCCCACATTTGTATGTCATGTTATTGTATTTTATGAACTAGAAAGACTCAGCATTTCTGTAGCTGTGTATGAATTCAGATACACTTGAGATAAATGCACCTCTTAAATCATAAGCACTACCCTGCTCCTGCAATTATCTGGTCCTGCACTGGAACAGCCTTAAAATAAATATGTAACAGCACTTTAAAGTTCAAAACTGTAGTTACCATCCTGGATGGTAGTTAATGGAAATATAATTATATATGTACCTAGAGTTCTTGAACTATCTGTTGGATCTTTTCCTCCCATGACTTGCAAATGCTCACAGATCAAAAAAGGGAAGGTATCATCTGCTTTTTTGACTTGAGTTTGTTTAGTCACTAGCAAAGGTCAAGCTAATAGAAGATTATCTTTGCTTTAGTGAATTTGATTTGCATCCAAAATGTTTTTCTTACCTGAAGTATTTTAAAGCCTTCTGTAAACTCCAATTCCAGCTGTTCAGATGTTCACTTCTGCCAGTTCAGTGTTCTGATTTCAGGTAGAACAAATGATAAAATGTGATTTAAAATGAACATTAAGGCTGACTTCGCAAGCACACACTGATTTCAAGCAGTGCAGCTTAGCCTCCTGCGATATCTTAACATTTTCCATGTTAAATGCATCTTTAATGGCAGGCTTTTCCTGTCCACTCTACCTGGGATTCAGAAGAGGGAACACTTCCTCAGTTGACCTGAGTCATCTCAGCTGTCACGTCCATCAGCTTCTGTAAAATATTTACTTTTGTTATGACAAAGAAATGTCCTTTTAAGCTGTGGCAATTTCATCTTGCTATATAATTTTTGTAAATAGAATCTAGACAAACTTGTCATGCAACATAAGACAGGCAGTCTCAACAGGAAAACAGATTTCACTGAAGTGTGAAAAGTTTTTTTGTTTGCTGAGGGTTTTTTTTTATGCTCTAAGAAGCCTCAATTTTACTGCTTTTAACTAGTTAATTCTATGATCTTTGCTTCCAAGGGCACCAGCCAGGTTGGCAATACAGGACATTTCTGAAAGCTATTAAATGTCATCTCTTTAGAAAAAAAATCTTGATATTTATTAGCAACAGGAATATTTTTTCTTCCTGCAGTTTGAGAAAGGGAAAAGGAGGATCATCTTTGGTGGTGGCAGCAAGTGGCTGGCCGTGTTGAGCTCTCTGTGTGCAGCCACTGCAGGGGCGTTTCAGTGCTCACTGTAAATCCTGGTTTAAAAAGGCAGAAGAGCTGCTGCAATGAAAGTTATTCCTGTACGTGGGCCACAGCTGTAGTCAGTGTGTGACTTATGCCAGGAGCAGCCTCCTTTCCATTTCACCTAATAAACAGAGATTAAGGTCATCTGGAAATAGGAATAAGTGTGTCTCAATTAGATCAGGGTGGGCCTCAGCCTTTGTACATGAATATACAAGCAATTTTTCTATTTTTGTTTAAAGTTCTTTTCAAGATGCTAATATAAATACTCTCCATGTTTGTCCAAGTATGCCACACGTGTATCCTCTTATAAATAGAACCAATCTCTGCAAAATTGTTCAAGCTCACTTGGTTGGTTAGTAATGTATAAACTAAGGGATGTTACTGCTCAAAACACAAAACTTAAATTGAGAGGCAGATACATGTGGTGCCCTTGGAGATCTGATTTTTGAGGTTCATTACCTGGGGTGGTTGCTAATTATACACATAACATTGTTGTGTAAACAACTTATTCTGCTGCTGCTCTCTTCTCAGCTAGAGTGAGGTGTAGAACCCCGTGGTGTCGGGATCTCTGTGAGACCTGGGAGGGGTGGCCTGGGACGGGTTTCCTAGGCTTACTTTACTTAGAGTATAACCTACAAGGAAACTTTGCAAGACCTACAGAGGGAAACCATGAGTGTTGTTTAGCTTGCACTGGAAGATGTCAGGAATTCAGCAATAAGGTGGTACAAGGCGATTTAGAGCACAAAGGACGTGTAAACTGGAGTGGGGGAGAAGTATCCTAAAAGCCACCAGAGCAAAAGTGGAACTCTGATTTACTGCCCTTTGATTCGAGCCAGTAGATACAAGACTTATTTCTCTCTAATGCCAGAGTAATGTTCAATTTGGCTGCACTGGTACAGAGCTGCTCTGAGTTGCTCGTTTGTCAGTGGGAGCAGCTGATGACATGGAGAGGCAGGAGCGTGGGGGCTGAGGCAGCAGTGCTGCAGCTTTTAATGGGAATTCGGTATTATTCCTTTGCAAAAAATACCATACACTGGAAAAACTCAGTCAGCCTGCATCTCCTTTTACCGTGGAGGTTTTGGGGATCCTTGCTTGGTGATTGCAATAATTAATTCAAATGAGTACACCACAGTGTAGTGTATACTACATAAATCTTCAGCCAGTAATCTGTATCCAGAAAGAGGATTTAATTAGTCACTGATTGTTCTTATGCAATTACTAATGCAATTTAGCTAGACTTGCTTCAAAAGCTGTCCAAAGTGCCTAAATTTCTGAGCTCTAAACCTATTATACAAACACTAGTGGGTACTTGATTCTTTGTTTTTCTCAGTAAGGATATTATGGAATAAACTTTATGGTAACCCATACTTAGACACTGCGGTAGTTACCATGGTTTTCTGTTTGTCAAAGTGTAAACACAGAATTTGTGGACTTCAAATGTGGAATCCTTATGAAATACCTGCACTCTGCTGCTGTGTGTTGAGATCATCCAGTAACAAAGGACAGTGGAGCCAGGTGCAGTTAAAGTACCCCTTGAATTTTAGCTCTAGACCCCAAGGCAGCTGTCTGTGTGCACACCTGCACCGTTTTGGTGGGTACTTCAGTGTCACGTGAAGTACATCATCAGGAAATGCCCTTTGTTGCTCTGTAGAGCAAGGCAGGCAATATGAAGATGGGAATACATGAAATACAGATTTTTGTCAAGCCACATGTAGAATGATGTCATTTTCTGATGAAGGGAGGCGTTCATAGAGGCAGACTGCTCAGTCATTCCCATGGAAATAAGGTCTCTATGTGCCACTTTGAAGTGTCTGCTCTCCAGAAAACCCTGGTACTCACTCAGACTAAACTAATCACAGAATATTCTTAAATGAGCAAATTATTTTTTAAGTTGGAAGCCCAACAAAGCAAGCTCAGGACTGCTTAAATGTATAAGGGCTTTCATAAATAAAGTCAGACAAAGCCTTACTCTCTCAGGATTCTTAAAACTAAATGGGCATTTACATTAGGTCTTATTCATGTCTTCAGGGAAATAATCCAATGTAATATCAATATCAACACAATTTAAGTACAGTGCTGGGAATAAGGAAAGCTTGGACATTTCTATAAACAAGCATAATTTTAATTTAAACTTGGGTCAATCACAGAACTGCTTCAAAATGGAAAAGTTCAGCTTAAAACTTTTCTGTCTACTCTGCTCCCAGTCAGTTAGGAGAGGCAGGTATTTTCTTATGGATAAACACTTCCAGTCCCCCTTCTCAGCCAGCTCAGTTTCAAAAGTTATTTAGGATTATTTTCATTGTGAATAACCTCCCTTTCAGTTCGTTCTCGTGAGCAAGATCTCATTCTGCACGTTTAGCTTTCTCTGAGGATTGATGTTTGCCCCAGCAATCAGACTCTCCAGATGTGTTGTGATCTAATAACGCTGTGGTTAACCCCTGTCTGCTGTCAGCAGCTGCTGAGCCACCTCCTGTGTTTTCCCAGCAGCCAGCATTTGCTGGGGTGGTTTCCTGGCTCCAGCAGGACCAGCAGTTGGGAGGTGGGTGTGCTCTCCCTCCAGGGGGTTTGTGTCTGGTGCTGGGCTCAGGAGCCACTGCCTGGAGACTTCCCTGGGGAACCACACTGTTAACTTGGCTTCTCCTCCAACATTCCAAGGCACAAGGAGGGAACAGGTACTTGTGGATGTCTGTATGATCGTCCTCGTGGTCAAACCTGTGACTTTGACCAGTAACTCTGGGTTCTTGTCTTGTTTTAAATGATCAGCTCATTTTTCCATTGTCTGGTGCATAAGTCTCACATCTTGCTTTTCTCTTTGAAGATCTTGCTGCAACCCCTGCCTTATCACCTGGCCACGTGCAAGCAATTACTATTCCAAAGGGTTTCTCCTTGAATGGACAAAGTATGCTAATTACTCTGCAAAGAACCAAGTACGGGCTTGTGTAGTAAAGCAGCTCTAAAGAGACATTTCATAGTATGTATATAGTTTTTAAGTTGATCAGTGCACAAGTAGGCTGGCTTAGCACATGCTGCATCTTGTGTAAATGGCTAATGAGTCTGTGGCAAAAACAATAAAACCATCAACAGACACTGGATTTTTTTTTTAACTACCGAGTTTTGCTCATTCCGTAGGAAGATGTGTATAAAATGGCTGCTTTCTGACATATAGTACAAGTCAAATAGATATTAAGCCACTGAGTCTAATGAGGTGATTTCTAATTCATGTACAGAAGTTGTAGCATCTGCAGCAGCAAAGGGGATTAATATTTGCCACAGAAATTTCACATTACAGGAATAAAATAACAGGACACTTAAATCTGCATGAATGTATGAGTGTGGAGGTATATGTACTAAAGCTTCGTTGTCTCTCTTGAAAAGTTTAATGGTAACATTGTAGTCTTTAAACTTTCATTTGTATGTGATTCCACAATGACTAATTACTTTTGCCAAGTAATTTTTCTTGCATTGTATTACAAATGCTAGTGGGATAGAGCTAAACGTGATATCTGTGGTTTGAGAATTGAAAAATTAATGATTCCTTCTCCAGCCTGCTGTGTTTGATTTATAATTCATCTCTGATAAGAGACATGCTCTTCTGAGCCCGCTGTCATCTCTCCATTTACTATCTAGGTGGGCGTTTTTTAATTCTTGCCATGGTGGATGTTGGGGAGTTGTGAATTCTGGGCTTAGACTGCTCCTGAAGAAATAGGTTTCCAGACCCACACTTTCTTCACCTCTCATTTCTCCTCTGTGTGATCTGGCCCCAGGACTTGTGTTGACCCCAAACCTCTCAGCTGCTGTTGCTGCCATGACCCAAGTACATGGTTCACCTTTCAGAGGCCCTTGACAGCAGGAGGGCACGGAGAAGTGCAGGGGTTCTGAGTGTCCTGAGTAGCTGCTCACAGCCACTCTCCATCTCGAGGAGTGCCACAGCTCTGAACTCAGCACTAACCCTTCACACAACACCTCTCTCACTCCTCTGTTTGGTCTTTAGTCACTCTGGATCTTCCTGGGCTATTTGG